GAGAGAAGATCCTTCAGGAACTTCACATACTTAGGCATTTGAGATAGTTCCTCCAGGAAGGGCACTTGAACATTCAGCTTCCAAAGCATGGACATGAAGTTCCCGAACTCTGCCTCTAGCCGATGTTTGTGCATCCTGGTGGGAAAGGGGAGCTTAGGCTTATATTCAGCCACCACTAATTGAGGTTTTGGGGGCCGAGCCTCTGACTCCCTGTCCATAACTAGGTCTTCTTCCGACTCCAGGGTGATCTGGGGCACCTTCTTTGCACTCCTCAGCGGTACATCCTCATTCATAGTCCCACTTCTCAACATGATGGCGTGCAACCCCTCCTTATGATTTCTGGGATTCAGCAAGGTTTGGCAAGGAAGTGTGCCAGCCGGTCTAGAAGCAAGGGCATCTGCGAGGTGCCTCATCTTGGTGTTCATTTCCTGCAGGTGTGCCTACTAGTTCCTCTGGCTAGTTTCGATCTCCATGAATTTTCCCGCAGCCACTTCGATGAATTGCTCCAATTTATTGAAGTTTTGGGTACTAGTGCTGGCCAAGGTGGTCACTAGATCCCTCAGTTCTAACACGGAATCTCCCGGTGCTGGGACTGATGAAGATGCATCCGGCTACTGGTGCTGCTTCTAGTGTGGGGCTATTGAAAAGCCTACCCCTGTGTGGGCTTATATGGCGTTCTCTGGAAGCCGAGAGGTCCGTGGGAGACTGGTGGCATAGGATTATTTCCATTCCAGGAGAAGTTCGGATGTTGGCGCCATCCCTTGTTATATGTGTTGCTATAGGAGTCAAAACGTCTAGCATTGCTGATGGAGTCCAACTGCTCCTGGGGTGTAGTCGACTCCCTCATCGCTATACAGTCTTCGATAGTATGGTGGGAGCTCTCGCACCACAAGAAACGCATTGCCTGCTGTTGTCCTGGCCCTGGAAATGTTAAAGTAATAGACTTTCACGTTTCTACAATAACTTAGAATTCCCCGGCAACGGCATAAAAAACTTAACACGCTATGACACAACACCAAAATGCGACCAAGTGTAATCGCAGAATGGAAATGCAGTATAGTGGAATCAAGTAATAAATGTCAACCCAGCGGCTAGATGTACTACCTACTCCGTGATTATCTATTATCTAGCGAGACTAAGTGAATGTAGGTGAGTTCAAAGTAAAGTAGAAAGAAAACGGTAAATTGTCTGGTTTCCTGAAGCAAGAGAAGAGTCATTCGGGAATGAGTCCCCTAGCTCCTTAGTTAGGTCCCAGTTGTAATTTCCTTTGGTTGATTTACTGTTGATTAAACTGTGGAAGATCCGACAATAACTTGGAATCTCTAAAACTAATCAAGCCCTCTCATACAGACTAACCGGCAGGCGACTAGCCTTCACCGGGATAGACTGCTAAGGCAATACACACAGAACTCCACTACTGGAAGCAGATTCCAGGACAAAGCAGTGAATTGAATGACTCTCGTACAATTAATTCACTCCTATCAATTTAAGAAGCTCGAACAACCTATTCAGATTGTAACACCTTAGGCAAATCCCACATCGACATAGCACGGGAGAGATCCATGGTTCATAAGTAGGAAACCGGCCTTAACTGACAAGATGTGTTTTGGGGTGTAATGGAGGAGTTCTTGTGAGAACTTCGAAGTTAAACGTGCTCAGTGCGGAGCACAACAAGGATGGGTGACCTTATGGGAAGTCACCCTGAATTGTGCCCCAAGTCGAAAATCGTGCGGGGGTAGAGGCCCAAAGCGGACAGTATCTTGTCGGAAAAAGGTTCGGGATGTTACAGGAATTCCTACAAAAAAAGGTAACGGGAATGTATTCACCGGCAATGCCGGTGTCCACCTGTTTCTTTTTTTAATTTTTTTAATCAACGGCTTAAGTTGATTCTAAGTGATTTTAATGGTTTAGATCTATGCATTGCAAGTTATCTAACATGAAATTATACCAAGTTAGTATAGGAGGTCCCAATTATTATATGGCACCTCGCTGCCTTTTCTTTTGTGGTTGGTTCTTGAAGGCTTTGTAACTTGTAAGGGAAAAAATAGCATTCTAGTATGAAAAGGATAAGAAGAGGTAAACTATATAAATATGTAGTTGTTTATGAGTATTAATCTACCCAATAAATAAAAGTCAAATAAGAAAACTTGAAACCCCATTTCAAATTTTCTTCATCCAGAGTGAAAGTATGAAGGGTAGATTTGTCTTCACATTCATTTATTATTTTCATATATAAAGAAAAATACACCAGAAATGAGATTTTAACTATGGTCTCTTTAAACAAAGATAAGAAACATTAACAGCTACAATAATTACATTTTTATGATCTTCTTCAATTAAAAATATACAGGAAGCTTAAATCTCAAAAAATAATAGGACTTTTCCACCACGGTTAGCAACTCAAATGTCGTTGATTCAAATATTGCATATCGAATTTCACTCTTGAATGTGTAGAATCGATGTAGAATTCTTAACATAAACTAAATTGTTGTAACTGTAATAAAGTAATGATATTTTTAAACGCATAACTTTTCTGTGAATATGGGGCACATGTGTCTTTAAACGAGCCCAAATAGTGTCTGACCCACTAAACGCTCAACCACCTGGGTTACTTTCGCTACACCTAATATAATAGTGAAATGTGAAAGGTGCTTCTCCCATTACAAAATCCTTGCATCCATAGCAAAAGTAGGAAGGGTAGATTTGTTTTCACAGTCAATTATTATTTTCTTATTTACAGGAAAAATACATAAGTGATGGAATTTTAATTGTGATCTCTTTGAGAAAAGGTAAGAAACATAACCAATTAGACTAAAAAAATTTGTTAGAACTTTTTAAATTAAAAACTTATAGGAAGCTTTAATCAGAAAATCATAGGAATTTTCCATCACAGTTAGCTAAGCCACTAACTCTCCCCTAAATATTTTTTGATATTTGATACTTCTATTTTCATATTTTGTTTATTTTAATTTGATTTTAATAAATAATTATATTTCTATTTATCTTATAAAAGGAGAATAATTTTAAAAAAAATCGCAAGCCTAATGGCATTGGTGCAAATAGTGCATATCGAATTGCAGTATTGAATGTGTAGAAGCGTTGCAAAATTCTTGACATAGATTTAAATAATATAACTACCATAAATCAAAAATATTTTTCAATATTGAAGTTTTGAGTGAATATGAGGAACATGCGACTTTAAAAGAGGGGTAAATATGGAAAGGTTGAGTCATCTTGGTTTGTCGAATGGGGATTGAAAAGGCGCAACAAATGTAAACGAGTCTAAATGGTGTCCCGACCTACTAAACACTTAACCATCGTTGTCTCTCCATCCTTCCCACCGGACTCGACAATCACCTAACCTCCTCCACATATATTGTTATGCAAAGAAATTTTTTGAGGGGCAAATATGGAAAGGTTCTTGCTTGGAGAGTTGATTGGTGGGTTATTTAGCTTCCTGACAGTAATGTGCGATCTCTTAACATCAGTTCATTTGGTTCATCTTCTAGTTTGAATTTTGAGTTGATTAAAGATAAACAGTGTCCCGGGCTCCCAGCCTACTAAACTCTTAACCATCGTCGTCTCTCCAAACCTTCCCATTGGACTCGACAACCGCCTAACCTCCTCCAACTATATTGTTATGCAAAGCAATTTTCGGAGGGGTAAATATGGATATGTTGAGTGTTCTTGCTTCGAGAGCTGACTGATGGGTTATTTAGTTTCTCTGACAGTAATGTGTGATCTCTTAACATCAGTTCATTTGGTTGATCTTCTAGGTTAACTTTTGAGTTGATTAAAGATAAATGCCTACACTTTTTGGTGCTTTTGTTTGATACTCCTTTTCAGTATCATCATTTTTTTATTTGAAATGTTTTTGTGGTTAGTTTCCAATAAACAAAGACTATTCTGATTAGTGTTAACATAGGGAATAGCTTCAATCATACCACTTTTACACAAAATTTATAAGTAAGAGAGATATCATTGTCGAATTGAACTATTCAAGCTATAATGCTGATCTTCAACATATAAAACATGGTTTCTTTTGAGTGAAATAACCTCATGATTGCAGATAAGTTTTTACAATATAATGTTTTGTGATAGTGGTCACTTGCTTCCAGATTTAAAAGTTGGGTTCTAATTACTACAATATAAAAAGTACGAGTGAAGTCATAATTGGAGCAGATACAAGATGGTTTGTAGTATAGCATGTTGATATTTACACATGTCTAGACCCAATCGATTGGACATCTCCACCTAGAATTTATTGACAGTATTTTTGCTCATCAAAATCGCGTGCCAAGTAAGCTCCCTCTTTTATCCTTATATTTCTCTTAATCTGCAGATGCACACCCTCATAGGAAACATGTACATAATTTTAATTTGGGTGCTTCATTAGTATTGTTTCCATAAGATTGTATTAAATAAGGTGGTTGTTCTAGAATTGTGAATAGTGGTTGTATCTCCTCTAAGAAATTGTCAAGTTAAGCTTTAAAAGAGGCTAACCTGAACTTCCTCTTTAATTTAGATGATAAGAGAGCAATGACCCCCATCAAATTGATTGGTGGTTGACAATGCCTGAGAAACGGTTTAGCTTTCTTATGAGCATCACAAGATCCTGATAGTATCTCAATCAAAGCAATTTTTTTTTTCATGACTGTTGTTTATACCATGGTAAAGGAAACCGTATCGGAAGTCATACAAGATCCGTCAATGGTAGGGTGTTTTGTGGTACGACCGTGGGTCCATCGTTGTGTACCGGCAAAATACCGTTTTTATAATTAAAAAATATTTTTTCGTTAAAAAAAGTAATGTCATATTCAGGATACCATTTCGGAGTAATACCGGAATAAAATCGAAATATACCGGTAACAAACCTGAATAAACTAAATAGGAATAGATAAAATAACAATCAACAACTTGCAACATTGCTGAAATTATAATCAAAACATGCAAAACATGCAAAATTATAATCAAAATAGAGATACCAATTACTAAGTATAAAGTCAAAACATTATTCATTGCAAAACATTTATTCACTACCGCATAATAGTAATTTGTAAACCAAACATCATTCCAAACTCTCCTTACCTAATTTGTATACAAAATTATATGGTCTCTAGGATGGGGAAATCAATTATGCGAGTGACTCCAACCGTGTCTTGGATGGGAAATCGAGTCCGACGTACAGAGACGACAAAGGACTGAAGGACAGGGAGACTCGGCGCGGCGGCGGGCTCATCCTTTGTCCTTCTCGCCGGTCCCCAGAGGCAGGGGAGGTCGAGCACATGAGGGAGACTCGGCGCGGCGGCTTGAGGAGCTCGCTTTCTCGCCGGTCGCCGAAGGTAGTGATGATTTGGAGTCTGGCTGGAGAAGACGAAGGGGAGACCGCAGTCGAGGAGGGGAAGGCTGAGCTGGAGAACGATCGATCGGCGGTGTCGACTGAGCTGGAGAACAATCGACCGCGATCTCATCTTCTCGTCGGTCATCAGACGCAGATCTGGGCTGGAGAAGATTGATCGGCAGCGTCGTTCTCTTCTTCTCAAGCAGGCAGCAGGCGACGTTCTGGAGAAGAGGAGTAGCAGCAGAGTGAAGTGAAACAATGGGGAAGAATCAATTAGAGTTAGGGTGTTAATTCGGACGAGTTGGACAATCATTCCCCCCCAATTTTGTCGCATGAAAGATGAAACAGAGACGTTTACCTTGAATCTTCCTACCGCCGGTCGGAACCATACCGCGCGGTATCTCGGATAGTGCCGTTTAAGCCGTAAATACTGGCCGACGCGGTAAATAAGCTGCTGAATGGCCCGGTTCCTGGTTTTTTCCATGGTTTATACAAGTTGTTTACATAGAAGAGAGCCCCAAGTTAGCTCTTGGAGTTGCGATGCGAAAATGGTTTATACAAAAGGCCATATTATGATCATATAGAATGCATTGATAGAGATAGTCATCAATCTCATTTTATTTTCGAAGCCACCGAGGAGAAGAGAGGAATCACCATTGGTACTCTAAATTTTACTAGGCTATTATAATGATCATTTCTTTCATTTCACATAAATTTGTATTATGACTGAAGTTATATTACCCAAAGCCATAAATTGCAACAAGGAATGGTCATTTGAATTAATGTGCACTGATGCAAAATGCCAGGTAGCTGCCACGAGAAAGGAGTAAGAGTGGACTAATCAGTGTGTTTGTTGCCGAGAAGGATAATAATCGTGATAACGGGGAGGGTTGATGACGATTCACTTATACATATTGAAGAGATAGAAAATACAAAGTTGTACGTCATTTGTGTGTTTAGTGTAGCAAAATGGTTAGGAGTGATTTGGTAGGATTTCACAGTGGTAGATATTGACAAAAGTTAGTATCTGTTGGTGCTTCCGGGCATATATAGCTTGCCTGTTTCTTTTGTTTGTATATGAGATTTCTACAGTAGATTGGATGCTTTGTATTTCTTTTTTTTTCATGTTATTTTAATTAACAAAACTATTTACCAGAAAAAAATGGCCGACGCATTCCATCGACTTGATTTGGACATTGTTGTTTATTTTTTTCTCGGCCAAGGATTCATCGTCTTTGGTGTCACTGTGGGTTTTGGTCTAATGGCAATCCAAATTGGGGTTTTCTTGTGAAATCTCTTAGTGGCTTCCATTTTTATAATTGGAGCCAGGTAAGCATTCATTTGGTTTTTTCATGTTCACTCTAGGGGCATCGTGGTGCATGGCAATAGTGGTTATATTTAAGGCTAATGGCTTGGTTTGAATTATCCATTATAGTGTTTATGTTTTACTATTTCTTATGTAATGTAATGGGATAATGACTTACCATCATATTATTATTGTGTTGTTGACCTACCTCCAACAATCGCTGCATACATGTTAACGGGTAATATCAGTTAGAATCAAAGAGTCAATTTTCGAGATTACGTTCGACCAAGGGACCAGTTAATAAGCTAGTATATAAGAATATTAGAATCCATTTATGTTTATTGATTGTAATGTAATTAATAGTTTTTGTAGTAATTTGCGGTATTTCTCGCCATTAAGGATATCCTCTACTTGAGAGCGTCATTCATGTATCCAAAGTCCGAAGGTCAAATATCCAGTCTCGTAACAAACCCTCAATATTAACCATTCTCTTAAAAGCACATGGTTTTTTACGGGAATGTGCAAATTTTAAGCCCATAAATTGACTTCATTTGCACAAACATATAAAAGTGATTAAAATTCATACACGGACCTCTCAAACAACTCATATTATTATGACCAGACACTTTCTACCCGTTCATGCTTTTTTTTATAATGGTGACATTCATTTATTTATTAAAAGAAATTACAAAGCGGAAATTACATAAACATGATACCTTCAACTCGAAATAGTACTATGTAGACTTTCGATCATCACTCCTAGGAGTAAAGCATGTTTTCAAGTTTTCCAACCACGAATTGGCAACACTCATGTTGACTTTCTTCGTGCTTGTAAGCTAGCTATGGATAAGAGTACCGATTCTGCATCAGGTTACCTTATCTTTTGTGTTCTTTCCCTCGGAGATTCTCGAATTTCTATCTTTCCACAATGTCCAATAGACAACATTTATTGCCACCTTTGTCCACATCCCTTTGGATCTTTTGGTTTCCACTGATCCCACCTATCCAAAATCATAGTAATATTTCCTCTTTGCATCTTATCCCTGTCGAAGAATATGAATCTGCTGAGAAGTCTCACACCTCTTCGCAAAACTTGCAAGTACAAAGAAGGCACTCTATGTCTTTCTCCGCACCAAGGCACATCACCCACCTACTTGGTAGCAGCCACCCTTTCTTCTTTAGGTTCTCATGCGTGAGAATCTTCCTTAAGTAGGTCACCCACATGAAGAAACATACTTTTAACGGTACCGATTGCTGCCAAATAGTCTTCCACGGGAAATTTGCGTCTCCTGGAAAACTGTCCATGGTAAGATATTCATAAAGAGACTTCACCGAGAAACCAACATCTAGTTTTGGTTGCCACAAGAAGTCTCATGGGTCCTGCAATATTCACATTAGCATGCAAAGAAGAGTGGTAGTTTAAAACAATTAATATCTCCCTCTCAGCACCCCCCCTAGCTTAAATTTAAGATGGATATCCCAAGAAAAATTCTCTCTTACCCTAACGATATTCTCAAGTACCTTACTGTTAGGATTGACGGTGGCAGCGGCAACTCTTGGGTAGACTTTCGCAAGTGTTGCAATCGAAGTCCATCTATCGTGCCAAAAAGACAACAAAGGCCATCCAACTTCAAACATGACTCTTGACTAGATCAAAGGCTTAAGTTTTTTGATCGGACTCCACGGGATGCACCCCATATTGCCTTGAGCCGAGCCCAACAACCATTATGTATTTAGATTTGGATATTTGAAGGCAAGCAAATGACGCCACCATGTATCTTTCTCGGTTGCAGCCTTGCACCACTACTTGACAAGTAACACAATGTTATTGAGAATTAGATATTTTAAAAACAATTTGTTGAGGCAGTCCCCCAATGGGATTCCCACATAAATCGTGGGAAGAAATTTTTGCTGCATCTCTTGTGATAGAGATTTAACTAGCTACATCGTGCTTTTGCTTCATGCCATCACCTAATTAATGAAGAACAAGAAACTCGGGATAGCATATAGTTAATTGTGCCCTTCTACGAACCATAATTATAGTTTTAATAGCATCGATCATCTAACAATCAAACATTGATACTACTCGAGGTATAGATGGTTGATCATTCCCTCTATACTCGTGTAACATCAATGGGGTATCACTAGATGGTAATTTATTGACAACCTAGATAATACTGAGCACAATGCATATAGTAGCATACAGTAGAATCATAAGCATCGATGATAAAGAAGCATTGTACTATAGAAAAGTCAATGACCATCACATAAGCATCGAAACTAAAAGAGTCCATACATATGCATTAGGCATCGACATCTACATAGACAAACATAAGCATAAGATGAAATCGTAACATTCATTAACATAACATTAAACAAGTTCACATCTTCATAAAAATATCAAGTTCGACTAGGCGAAGTATGATGTGATTCCCGACCGCCAATGTAGAAGAGAAGACCTGGTCAGAATTTTCAATTCCCTTATCAGGAAAGTGGAGGAAGTTACCGGGGATTTTGATCAGGAGAGGGCCCGACCAGTGATGTTAAATCTCGACCGGGTATTTAGACTGGGGATTTGGCCCATCCGAGTTTTGTTACCATTTTCGTTCAGGATTCTTTTCTTTTTGGTGTATTCATTAGGTTTATTTTTCTAGACCTATTTAAAGGATTGTAAGCCACAAATTTGGGCAGATTATTGAGACTTTGATTATTTGACAAACCTTTTGTTCATTGAGCGTGCTGCTCATGAATTTTGTCCTTGTTTGTTGATGGATCTCTAGCATTCGAGCGAGCTTTATATCAATCAAGTACCCACTTCGATTGTGGTCGAGTTGCTACCCATTATATTGTTTGAGCCTCTTCCCATGCAATAGAGATTGGAAGAAAAGAAATACGAATCAATCCATCAAATATAGAAATACCTACATCCTATGGTGTTTCCCCCAGAAATTGAGGTTTAGTTCATGAAGAAAATAAAGCACTCAATCAGGTTTATAATCATCATCGAATCGAAGCAATAAAAAAAAGAATACTGATATTTCTTCCCCATTGCTCGTGATTGCCGCAAAGCTTCACTGCTTCCTATTCTCCGTTTCGCCCTGCTGCTCGCTCTCTCTCCAATTAATTCCCTTTTGCGCAGCGCTACTCTCCGCCCCGAAAGAATTCTCTCAAAGCTTCCGTGTCCCAATCCAATTCCTCCGCCCAGCAATTTCCGTCCCCCAGCTAAGTCTCCCAGCGCCTTTCCTTTTCCAAAAGAGATTCCCTCTTTCTCGGGCCAATTAATTCCTTTCTCCCCTCGTCAATCCTCCCCTTAGCAATTAAAAGTCCCAGCAAATGATCCCCCCACCAGATAATTTTCCAGCCCCAAAACGTGTCCCTCCTGGCCCAATTGCGTCTCCTCCCCGAGACAAAGCAATTTGGGCCCAATTAATTGCTTGTGCACTCGCTTCTTTTTCGTGCTTTCTCTACTTGTAACATATCAAACTCATGGCACTAGGGAGTAATGGTTTTTCAACCATTCCCGGGTTAGCGAGCCCTAAAATAGCACCAATCGGCTGAAACAGATCATAGGATAGTCACATAAAGTTCAAGAATCTGATATATTAAAGCCGATTATCAGTTTCCATTACATGTATTTTTCCAGACCTATTTAAAGGTTTGTAAGCCTCTAATTTGGGCAAATTATTGAGACTTTGATTATTTGAAAAACCTTTTGTTCATCGAGTTTGTGGATCGTGAATATTGTCCTTGTTTGTTAGTAGATCTCTAGCATTCGAATGAGCTCTATATCAATCAACTACCCACTTTGATTATGGTCGGGTTGCTACCCAATGTATTGTTCGAGCCTCTTCCTGATTTTGTGTTGAAGTTGCATGTCAATTCCGCCCTATCCTTTACTTTTTGAGTTGTTGAGAGAAAATATCAGAAAATCCTAAAAAGATCATGAGTGCGTGACTTTGATCAAAAGAACCTAAGCTTTCACAAGCTCGGGGTTCTTATCAACATAGGAGAAAAGGAAGATACCACCATTGATGATGACATAATTTGCTTAGCTACAGACCCTCTACTTTGACAAGGCTATCAGTCGTTTGGAGTATTGTAGAGAATTTGTGTGGTTGTGTAGACTTGCTAAGATAATAGGCCATGCCCTCTTTTTATAGGGGAAAATTCACCTATAACATTCTAATCCTAGTAGGAAAGATTCTCCTTCTCCTTGTTGGCTAA